AAGCTGGCATTTCCCTGCAAGCTTGCGGAGATCAGGCTTGGGAGGAAACACGGGTTCCACACACTTAAAGGGAGAGAGATGGGTGGCTGTGGGTGTTGGGGGTGGGGCTTCCCCCGCCGGCCATCTGGCCCCCCAAAACGGGGAACCCCTGGCAAACCCGGGGGGGGGGGTTGGCAACCCTACATTTATGTCAGATCTGGCCCTCATAACAAATGAGTTCGACACCCCTGCTCTTAAGGGTACGGACCTTCGAGGACAGCCTTCCTTTAAGACTGCTTTTAAAATTGTCCCTTGTTAGCCACCATGGTGCATAGAGTTACTAATTCCAGGTTGGGAAATTCCTGGAAAATTGGGGTGGAGCCTCGGGAGGGTGGGGTTCAGGGAGGGGAGAGGTCCTGCCATACAGCCCATATTCTAAAGCTGCCATTTCCTCCTCTTTGTTGTCTGGAGACCAGTTGCAATTCTGTGAGCTCTCCAGGCTCACAGCAGAATGAGGCAGTAAAAGCAAAAAGGATCTCATCGTTTCAGAGTACACATGGAGTATACCATATTTTAATGAATTCCAATGTCAAAAGTTCCCTGGAAGTAGAAAACCAAAACAACCAGTAAGAATCTTAGTTAGCCACTGTCTCTTTAATGTACTAATGTGCTAACTGCAAGGAGCTTTTTATATGGGAAACTGTTAAAACTGGTATCTCCCACCTTATTCTGATGCCTGTACAGACTCTGCCATGTCTATCAACAGCTACTAGCCATGGTGACTGGAGGGAACCTCCGAATTCAGAGGCACTAAGCCTCTGAATCCCAGAGCCAGGAGGCAACATCGGGGAAGGCTTCGGCCTCTCTGCCCTCTTGTTCAGCCTCCAGAGGAACTGGCTGGCCACTGTGTAAGACAGGATGCTGGACTAGATGGGCCATTGGTCTGATCCAGCAGGGCTCTTCTTATGTTCATAGGCTGAAATCCAGGGCACCCTTACCTGTGAGAAACCTGCACTGAATACAATGTAAACATACAACATGCACTGAATCGAGCTGTAAGGTTGTAACACCCCTTCAGACATAAAAGAGGTTTACAATAATTCTGCTTCCAGGGAATGCTGGGAACTGTAGTTCCTCAAGAGGGCTAGGGATCTCAGAACCCTTGTCAACTACGGTTCCCAGGATTCTTTCCAGAAAGCCAAACGTTAAACTGCAGTAAAACCAAAACAAATCTTTGATATAGATAGGAGCTTTTATGCTGCATGCCTTTCCTCAGTTGTTTTCATTGCTCATGTCCAACACAAGAGGGGGAAATTGCACAGAGTAGCACAGAAAACCAGGACAGAATTAGCTCAGTGAGATCTCATGGAACAACCAAATTCCTCCTCCTTCATTACACAGCTTGGCCACGGCAAGCAGTCCACATTTCAAACTTCCCAGCCTTTCATTTGCAATTGCCCTTCAATTGAGCTTACCCTTGGTTTTGGAAATCAGAGAGCGCTTACCTGTGGCTACCTGCCAAGAAAGTACTGGGGAACTGGAGGGGAAGGAAAGAGCCCCCAAATGGTAGTCATGGTAAGGTGCCAAAGGTGTGTCCACCGTACCTCCAGAGTTGCCACTGGCAGTCCTCTGAGAGCCCTGTCTTCAGAGGCTTTCCCCCATCGAGATTTTTTCAAGGTCTTTTCTGTAGCCTTATGAACTAGAAGTGTGGACCAAAATCATGCATGCATTGTAAAGTACAGGAAAGTTAAAATGTGAGTCTAACTCAACCTTCCTTGCATGGCCATCAAAAACAAAGGTACAATTTTTTATATATAATATATATTTATTTGTGCACATCTAACACAGCAGGAAAGGGGCTTAAAGTGGCACATGGTGAATTCAGCCTTGGTCTTTGAGGGGAAAAATAAATTCAAATAATATCACGTCCCCCATTTGCACTGCCAAGATCCCACTTTGAGTCTGTACTGCTGTCCTATGACATCCCAGTTAAAATCAAATTTAGCAAGGGCATGCCAACACCGGGTAAGCAAAAATGAATTGGGTTACACCCCCCCCTCCAAACCCACGGGAGCATGACATCATATAGCTAATTCTCCTCATCAACCACACACACCCTTTTCTTCTCTGCCCACCTTCCATGCCCCCTCCACCAAGCCTGTTAACGCTTAAAGTCCACATACGAGCATCTCTTCTCCTGAGGGCCACTAGAAACTCAGTGCTTGCTGCAAATACACTGATTTAATAAGAAAAGTCTGTATTTTGCAGGGGGACTCCATAGAAACCCTCAAGATTCTGTACCTATATTAGAGAATTTTGCAATAAGGCTGCCCGATTTGGAAATGCAGACCTTAAACTCACCAGCCCCCTCTAGGCCCCTAAAATGGGCACTGCACCTCTCCACCAGTATACAATGCCCTCCTTTGTACCCAAAAACGCTCCTTCCCTTCCTCTCAGGTTCCAGAATGGAGCAGTGTACTTACATCAATGCCATCAGCTCCTGGTACTCCGGGAGGACCTGGGGGGCCCCTTGGTCCAGGTTCTCCTGGTGGACCTTGCTAGAGAAACAAACAAAAAAGAGGAGCACAGTCACTTGGCGGAGGAAGGGAAATGCAGCAAGCCAAGAGTCGGGGGGACCTAACTGAGTTTTGCTGAGAGTCACAGCATCACACACCGGGCCCAGGGCTAGCCCCCATCTGAAACCCTTGGTGCCGTCGTTTCCAGCTCTGTTCCCAGAGAGCTGCTGGCAGGAGTGGCACGGAGTGATAAGGTACAGAGAAAGCCATATCTTTTGCTATCACTGCAACTGAAAGTCAGAATCGTGTAACTGAGACTGTGGGCCTTAGACCAGGGAGACTTGGCTTCAGATTCTCCCAGGGTGAGGTTGGAACAGTAATTATGTCTCTGCCTGTCCTCTCTTTCTCTCGGAATTCTTGCAAGAATAAAATGCAATGAGCCTCGCTCAAGTTCAAATACCACTTGCTGGATGAATTGGGCCAGTCGGTTTTTCTCACCCTAACCTACCTCACAGGGTTTTTGTGAGGACAGAATGGAGGGGCACAGAAGACTATCTTCTGCCCTGAGCTCCCTGGAAGAATGACCAGATAAACATGAAATAAATAAAGTCTCAGCCCTTTAAACAAATGCAGTTTAAATAAGCACCTACATTCCTTTGAGATTCTTAACAAAAGTCCATTATTGAAGATTTGTTTTCTCTCCCCCCCATAACCGAATACAAGGTTTTTATATATAGACCACGCCAAACCAGCCCAAGTTAACAACCTCTCTGCTATACTAGAAGCTACTTCGAAAACAGAAGTTCATTGATAGTTATTTCAGGTGACATAGAAATCCCTCTCTCAACCTCCATCTTCAGCAAGGGAGCACTTGTGGCCCACCTCCAAGACTTGTTGTAGGAATTAACTGCTTAGCATAATGGGTAAGAGACCAAATCTCACCTCTGCTACAAACGTACTTGATGGCCTTTCCGCCTCAGCTCCTGTGCCTACAATGTAGGAATAATACTGGCCAACCTTACAGGGTTGTTGTAAAAATTACTGAAATAAAGTGTCAGAAGCACTTTGAATTCTCAGCAGTATATAAAATGCCTAGGGCATAGCCAGAGTTCAGCATTTACAACCCATTAATTTTCAGCAACCTCATCCAAAGTTACTGCAGTATAAGAAGAAAAGCCTGGAGGAACTCTGTGCACCGAACCACTCCAACTGAACTCGATGCAGGTTTCAAAGTGCTCAGATTTGGATTATGCCCAAAAGCAGTAGACTTTACAGACCATGGGATACTGTAAACCTAAACAAAGTCAGCGACTCTTTGCAATAAAATGAAGCCATTTGCCTAAAGTCACATTACATTGTTTAATTACTAAGGTTCTGAAATTATATAAATCCCTTCTCTATCACACAATGTATGAACAGACAGCCATCCTTAAAATAGAGATAAATTCCAGCAGGTCTTGAAACTACAGGGGTCCCATACTATCCAACAGTACAGGCTCTGTTTCCATTTGTGTTTACCATTGCAATGGCATTTTGGTTTGGGGAGTAAAAATTTATAAAAAGCATAGGATTAAACTTGTAAAATACCAGCTTTCCAGTCACTGTGGAGAGAGGGCGTCCTGCAGCCATCCCAGGAATGAATAGCCACCTTTGTACCTCAGAAAACAGCAGCTCAAAGTTTTTCTGTTTTTAAAGTCTGGAGTGCTTTTTCTAGACTAGCATCCTTCTATCCAAGAGAGTTGCTGTAAGTGCACCTCATACATGTTACAATCTTTCAGGGGGTGTTGTTCCAGTCTGGAGTAAAAGGAAGGCTTCCTCACCCCAATCTTCCATCTTCTTTATTGCTCATTACCAAGAAAGATTTCTTTTTCCAAAAATAAATCTTTTTTAAAAAAGTTTCAACACCAGGCAAACATCCTCACCCACTTTAGATGGCAGTCAGTAGAAGGAGATTTTCAGATAATTCCTTTTTGGACACATCCTATCAAACATCACAATAAAGTATCCCCACCCCCCAACATCCAAAAGGGCTATTTGCAATGTCATACCAAAGATGCTCCCCAGAACTGCCCAGATGAAAAATGGCCGTATTACAGTCTGATTTATTGCAAGAAACCCTTTGCCAGCATTCCAGGTGAAACACAGAGATCCCATTTTGACCACTGAAATTCCTTAGTTTCAATTCTTGCTTAGACATCCTTTGAGAATATAGTGTCTTTCTTCTCTGATAAACTTGGTGTCAATTTCTGATAACGTTTTCCAAAGCAGAACAATACACATGCCACCTGAAACTGGGAAGGCCTATGGCAGAATGAAAGAAAAGCTGACCCTCCCCAGAAAGACGTCTGAAAATGTTCAGTCCTACAAGAATCAAACTCTGCCAAACAACTTCTAGAAAAAAGCCTCTCTCAGGATTTTTTTCAATAGACATGTTCATAAGTTATTACGTTTCATTACTAGATCCCTCATTAGGATCTAGTGACCCCCTCCCCAAAGCCTCATTAGGATCTAGTGACCCCCCTCCTGAATTAGTAAGAACCCCTCTTGAATCACTCCTAACCCCAACCCCGTTCCCAATGGGATAAGATCCATTAAAAGAACTTACAATCTGTGCCAGCGAGAAGCAGATGGTTTGGAGGAGAAGGGAGAATTTCAGGCTACCCAAAGCCATTGGCATATTGAGGGCTTCAGGCTAGTTACAGGATGAAAGGTGGGGAGGGGGCAGCTTTCCGCCTTCTTGCTGAAGCCCCACAGAAAGCCAGCCCTTGAATGGACAAATCTGCAGATCTGACAAGAGCAGAGAAAGGAGAGGGGGAGGAGAAGGGAGGAAAGTCATTAATATGTAGCATTTGTGGGGGGAAGGGGGTGGGAGAGAGGAACGGAGTTGGCTGGGAACTCCCCTCCCTCCCCACTGACACATGAGACCGAGGGACTTTGCTAAAGGATTTGATTCATGATCTAGGTGAAGAGACTTTTATTCCAGGCATCTAGCCCTCTAGTCTTCTCTCAGGCCGCAAGAAAGATGCTCTGCAACATATGCAAATAGAAAAAGGCCCCAAACAACACTTCTTGGGGCCTAGGAAAGCTTGTACCACAAGGCAGCTTGGTGTAGCAGTTAGAGTGCCAGACTGTTGGATCCCCAAGCATCGAGAATAAATCCACGTTTCAAAGAAAGTAAAGTTTATTTCAAAGCATTGGAAAGATACTCAAACACGTTCCTTGTTAGAACTGAGTACAAGCAGTTAGGGTAGACATGATAAAGGGATTCAAGTTAGATACACAACCAATGGATAACGTTCCCGCCGGCGGGCAGGAGAAAACGGTTGCTTGCTCAGGTCCTGGGAACCAGGCGAACAGTAGACATAACACAGGTGCAGTTTGCAAGCTTGATAAGTAAGAAGCTAGCAGCGAAGCATACTCTCCCCCTCACATCCTCCAGTTGTTTTACTTTGGCATTACAGCAGGGAAAACACATAGGCCAGCTGGCAGGGACAGGGGTCACATATGTACAATCAGAAGTCACACAGAACACCATGGCAGCTTGCTGACATACTGCCCCCTCAAAAACACACCTTAACCGTCACCTCCCGGGTCGGGCGGGAGACCTCCCGGTTTGTCCGGGAACTTCCTGTGGAAACAACGAAGCAGGTAAGGGGCCCGAATATCCCCTTCTTCCACCCATTCGCGGTGCTGGGGACCGAAATCAACCCATTCAATGAGGTACCAGAGTTTACCACGTTTCAGCTTGGAATCAAGGACATCCGCGATTTCAAAATGCTCATCTCCTTCAAGGATGATCGGAGGCGGGGGAGAAACAGTCGGCCTCCATGTAGAGGTGCCAGGATCTTTCTTTAGCAAACTCATGTGA